ACACAAGAAGTGGCAGAGACCAGTAATTGGGCCTGAGAAGCTCTGATTTGGTTATTGCTGTCGTTCATTTTGATTCATTCATTGTTTATTTGTTCTAAGAAATCAAAACCACTCAAGCTCTGAAGGCCACCTTTTCCTGCAAGGTGCAATCATTTTCCACTTTCCCCGACAAATAGTGGCTGAGTTTAAAGACCAAAAGCTACCACATCTCAAAGCAAAATCTCTTAGTCCTCCCCAGCTCAACACAGCCAACTGGTTTACCCTGTAGAAATTAATACAGAGAATGCCCCAGGGAACAACGCTTTTATGTACAGAGCAGACTTTAACAGCCAAGTAATTAAACCCTGAAAGTAAGGGCTTATAATTAAAATGCTGACAAACCTGAACTGGAACGGCACAAGGAGGGCTGCTATAATATTTTTACAATTCCTTTTTATACATAATGTATGATCCTTCTGCTCAAGTTTCCTCTATGTTCTTTGCCTGTGAAATAATTTACATTAATAAATAATTTATTACCATAACTCCTAAAGTAATTATGGGTTTCCATCCAATTTTTTTTAGCATATGAATTGTTTTGTTCTCTGTCCATTGACTTGTATTTACAAGACTTTTCCTAGTAGCCTTTTTAAGATAATTGCTATTGCCTTCGCTTTCTCACATAGTATGTGATTTCCAGGTCCCCTCCTCGCCTGAGTGGTGAGGAAAATGGAATGTGTGGTGTCCATTGTCCCTACAATTCAAATGCATTGAATGGTTGCAATTAGCCAAGGGGGGTGAATGGAGACGGCGCTCACTCCACTTGCCCTGTTTCACCAAGAAAGATTAAACTAGTACGCGTGTGACCCCGGGTTCCCCACTGCAAATGGCAGAAGATCTGGAGGGAGCCTGGACTGCGTGCGCGTGCAGCTCCGCCTCTCCACACACAGGATGCCGCTCAGCCACAGCCTGGGCCCCTCTTTTACACACTAGAAATGAGAGCCAGGAGCAAGGGCTGGCTTCAACACCCAGCCAGCTGACCAATGGATGGGATGCACCACTGAGGTGCCACCTGACCCATGTTCCTTTCCTGTGTTGAGAGCACAAGGCCCAGTCATATAAATGGCTCTTTCCCAGAGAATATTGCAGAGGAAATTCCACTTCAGCAAAGAAGGTGGGTTGGGGATGCTCTGGGAGATGGGAAAGGAGGCCCAGAGTCCAAACAGCCTCTGCTGGCAGGATCCCTGTGGTGGGGGCTGAGCTGGCACCCTCATAAGAGGCACTCAGCCCTGTGTAGGGCCGGCTGGGCAGCGCTCAGCTCCACCCTCTCTGCTTCTCCCATCCACGCTTCATGCTGGCTTTGTTCTCTCTTCCACACTGAAAAGCACAAAACCACTTCTCTGCATCAAGTTCCTAAACTGGGATGGGGGACAGGAGTGGGGAGGGACCTAGCATCCAGCTTGCAATCACAGGACATGAAGTGCTTTAAAGAAAACAAAAAAAAGCATAGGCCAGGCGCGGTGGCTCACACCTGTAATCCCAGCACTTTGGGAGGCCGAGGTGGGTGGATAGCCTGAAGTCAAAAGTTCCAGACCAGCCTGACCAACGTTGTGAAATCCCATCTCTACTGAAAATACAAAAATTCACTGGGCACAGTGGCAGACGCCAGTAATCCCAGCTACTCCGGAGACTGAGGCAAGAGAATCACTTGAACCCAGGAGGCGAAAGTTGCAGTGAGCCAAGATTGTGCCATTGCACTCTAGTCTAGGCAACAGAGTGAGACTCCGTCTCAAAAATAAATAAATAAGAAGGCATTGTCGCGAGCACTCTAAGTAGGTGCAGAGGAGGCCGAGCGACTTGAAAGGGTGACATTTTAAGAAGCAATCAGGATGCTGTGCTCCTTGCCCTAATGCACTTGCACAGATTTTCTGCAGAACATTTGTGAAATTTGAACTCATACTGGCTTCCAGCGAGGACTGTGGCATGAGGGCTCAGGAGGAAAAAATCCTGAGTCGCAGGGCCAACCGTCCCCAGCTCTCCTGGGAGAATTCCACTGCTCAGCACCAGAACACGAGTCCTTTATCTTCAGGAGACAGGCTGCAGGGTTGGTGATTATGATAATTTGGTGTTTTATCTTTGCACAGCATTGTTCAACACTGGAAGGACCCAAAACCCTCTTGAAAAGTCCAGCCAGCCCCTCAGAGTATTCGCTTCCCCACTGCTGAAAAGCAGGCACACCAGGCATGGTGGCTCACGCCTGTAATCCCAGCACTCTGGGAGGCCGAAGCGGGCGGATCACAAGGTCAGGAGATCGAGACTATCCTAGCCAACACGGTGAAAACCCGTCTCTACTAAAATTACAAAAAATAACTGGGAATGGTGGCACGTGCCTGTAGTCCCAGCTACTTGGGAGGCTGAGGCAGGAGAATTGCTTGAACCCGAGAAGTGGAGGTTACACTGAGCTGAAATCGCACCACTGCACTCTAGCCTGGCAACAGAGTAAGACTCTGTCTCAAAATAAGTAAATATAAAATAAAATAAAAACAGGCCACCTGAGATGTAATCTCGCTGCCTGGGGTGCACTCCCAGTTCAAGGAGCACAGGGAGGGCTGGAGAGGGAACCCGAGCTTCCACTTGACAGAGTGGGCAGGGCAAGGACCCTGACTGCTGACCCCCATCAGCAAGTGCAGGAAAGGGACAGAGGCAGGAGGGAGGATGTGTGCTAGTGTGTGGCCATCTCCTTAAATCCCCACAACTTGCAAGCTGAGGAAACCTAGCCAGGAAGACAGGGCGGTATCCCCATAGCTCAAGGGCCTCCACACTCATGGACGCCGGCCTAGGCCGTGCGGAATTCACTGTTATTGATCTTTCTCCTCCATCAGACAGAAATCTCCCTGAGGGAAGGGGCAGGGTCTGATTCACTCTCTACCTCAGCAGGTGCCTGACACACAGCAGGCGCTCAAGTCATATCTATGACAGCTAGCCATGAAAATGCAAAGGCAAGGCAATGGTCACTTAGCGATGCACGGTCACACGGCACGGTTCTCCTGAATCAGGGAGGGGCTGAGCAACAGAAAGATGAGGCCCATGGGAGAGAAAGCAGCCGACGAGAACAAGAGGTCTCCAAAGACCCCCAAAGGCTCCCTGTTCCTCCCTCTGCTGCCTGAGAGTGTCCTGGCATTGTCCCACAGAGCAGAAGGAAGACAGGACCCTGCTGAAGAGAAGAAGAGCCTAGGACCCAGGCATTGGCACCCAGCCAGCACATCCTGAAGAGCCACTCTATAAAACAGGAGTCTGGAGACTCAACACAGTCCCTCCTGGAAACCATGGCTTCCCCGGCAGGAGGTCTTTGTGCAAAGATCAGAAAGCCTTGAACAGCCTTAAAATAAAGCCCAATGTCTCCACAATCCAGTTTACTGGTCTGGCCCAGTTGACAGCGAAAGTCTAGGCAGAGTTGAGGGGTTGGGCACACTGGGGCCTCTCTCTCTTCCCCAGACATGACACAGGAAGGAAGCTCAAAGGTGAGGCTGTCCAGGAAGCAGGCAAAGAGACAGGCTTCTGAGCTATGTGTCTGGGGTGCTGAGGGTTTGCCGAAAGCTGTAAACCACCAGGGAGGTATTCAATCCTGTGGGGAGAGGCCTCAGAAGTATGTCGCATGGTAAACCAGGCCAATTGATCTCCCTGTCTCCATCTTCTTCAGTGGCAGCGTCAGGAGCACCCGCAGGTGTCCCAGAGCCATGGCACGTGGTGGAGAAGAAAACCATCTTCCTTCGCCACCCACCAGAGTCCAACTCTGCCTACTGAGGGACCTTGCAGAAAGGCACCTCGCTAGACCTCCATTCTCCCATATGTAGATGAAGCCACTGGCAGAGCCGGCGGGGCCCTGCACGTAAGGAGACCGGCATAGTGCTCAATCTGACACAGTGGCACCCTCCATCACCTCATCTATGGGGGCTGTATCTAAAGAAGAAAAACAAAACACTGTACACGGAGGGAAAGGACAGAGAAGGAAAGGCAAGGGAGACTACAAAGTCCAACCAAAGTCACCCTGGAATCTGGAAGGCCACTGTAGTCATCCATCATCCAAGAGTGGCTTCGGAGTCCAAACAGACGTTACGGAAACTCACCCGGTAAGACGTCCCCAAAGGTGGGCAAGGAGAGCCAGAGAGAGACAGTGAGAGGTGAAACAATGCCCAACCAGCTGAAGCATCAAGAAATCAATATAATCAATAGTCATTTTTTTTTTATCTCCTGTAAAAACAGTAATTCACACCTGCACAGAATCAGAAGATGAAGGCAATCTTCTCTGGAAGGCATGTGAGCAATATGAATCAGGGGCCTTAAAAATGCCCCTGCCCTCCAGCCTGTCTATTCCACTCCTGGAGACTATCCTAGCAAGGCAGACAAAGACTTAAGCACTGACATAATCACTGTACATCCCGACAGCAGAGAACAGCCCCTTGACCCCACGGCCTGGCCACAGTTACGTCGCTGAAGACATTCTGATGCATTTACTACACAATGCACTACTGGAGACCATTCAAATGAACCATTTTAATGCTGCGGGAACATGATGGTAACCGCTCCAAGTGAAAAAAGCAAACAACTATAGTTTTACATAATTACATGTTCAACGTGGACTGGGCTATATAAAAAAATGCCAACAACATAAACATACACAAAAATATCAACAGCAACTCTCCCTGGCCACTGAGTCTGCGAGAAAGTTTTGTTGCATATTTTACACTATTGTACATTTTCTGAATGAATAAAATCAACATGAATTACTTTAATCATCAGACAGAATTTCTCAATGTTAGAGTTGTAAACCACACAGCGGTGCCTGTCCCTTCACTCAGACACCATAGGGGACCAAAATAGTTAAAACACACAGAGGAGTCCCCGGGGCTGCTCTTTTTGAACTTGTGTCCAGAAAGTGCTTTGAGCGTCTCACCTGGAAGACTCAGACCCTGGCTGGAAGGGCTAGGAGGACAGCTCCCAGGACGGCCTTCAGTACTTACCCATAATTCCACAAGAGAAAAGTGTAGGTCCTTGACTCATCTTCTTTGGCGTGTGCTGAAAACAACCAGAAAAGCTATTCACTCTTCAAGTCATAGGAAGCATGTTTGCACTGACTCTGCACTGATCCCTTCTAAAGTCACAATAAAAGGGTGACCGTCTTTGCCAATGTCAGATCTGGGAAAGGAGGAAAAGGTATTGGAAGATAAAACATCTGCACAGAATTAGGCCCACATGGGCCTTAACTCACTGGAGACTTAACTCACAAGTCTCCAGTGAGTTAAGGAGTCCATTGAGTTAATGGGCTTCGAAAACACACAGAAAGCCCCAGGACCTCTGACACAAGGGGATTTTTCTACACGAGTGAGGTGGAGGCGGCCCAGGGACAGGGTGGATGGTAAACAGTGGAACACGCTTCCCTGAGCTGGGCTGAGAAGAGACCGAGAGCGGAGGGACCTCCCTGGGGACATAAAGAACCTCAAGTAGGGAGCAGGGGACCCCAGGTCCCACTCCGAGACCCCTCCCTTCCAGATTCAGGGCCAACAGCTCTCCCGCTCTGGTGAGAGGCATGGGGAGAGCTCGGGAGGCCTGGCCTCTGCTCTGCAGGCTGCTTTGTGGCTACATCAAGGCCCCCTGAGGCATTGTCTCTGAACTGAAACAGAAACTCAAGGGCTATATTTGGTCTCCACATAGCAGCTCTGGCTTTTGAACCCCTTGGCACTGTAGTTCCACAGTGGTTTCCCTTTCCACTGTCAACACCCTACATCTTCCCTGATGCCCCACGCTACCCTCAATTGAACGCTATGGCCATTGGGCAGAAAACAGGCCAATGGGGCCCAGAAGAACCCCAAATCCAGGATGCTTGCTCCATGGCTACACAGTAAGCTGCGTGTGGAATATTCTGGGGGTTTCTCATGCTAGGTGACACCCGGGTCAAGAGGCTTGCTCTGTCCTCATGAGCCACAGCCCCAGGAAGCAGCTCGGTCTCACGTGCTCCGAGGCTCCCTTACTCGCTCTCTCAGTGGGCACAGGCTGGTGATTCTCTCTGTGCGGGCTGCGCTGGGGGCTGATCATGCAGTGGTTAAAAGAGCTCTCAGCCCTAGAGAAATCAGCCTGTCACAGAAGGCTCTAACTTCTGAAAGGAACCCCCAACACTCCCCATCAAAATGACATGAACTGACAAGGCTTCCAGGCCGGGAAGTGGGCAAGGGCCCAGGTCCTGGATCTTTAAGGCCTGGCAGGAGGCTGACTAGGAACGCCTGGCCCATCCAGCTAAGAGGGTGGCAGGCACCTGGCACCAGCTCCCTCACCCCATCTGCATCTGCCCTATCTGGGGACCTCTGCACTAGGTCAACAGTGTGTTCACCCCACAGGGTTACCAACAGTCCATCATGCCCAACCCGGGGACACAGAGGTGGAGGAGGGCTCACACTTTATGGAAGACAGTCAGAGACAAATCACAAGGAGATGGGCGCTGGAGGGGATGTCAAGGGAAGCGTGCTGGGATGTGGGTGGAGGTCAGGGTAGCCTCCTGCAGAAAATGCCTAGACTATGCTGAAGAACCACAGGAACTTACAGGGCTGAAGGGGAAATGGGGCAGTCTCCTGCAGGTCACCCTCCTCAGTTTAAAATGATCCAAACAATATCATTAGGCCAGGTCACCCTCCTGGATTCTACAGTGACATAACCATCCCCTCTACCGCCATCTGTGGGAATATCTGGAAAGAATTCAAAACAGTTGTACCTGCTTCCCCCATCCCCCCACACAATCCCAGCTAAGAGGTGCAGCTGAGACCACACCAAAGTCATCCCATGGACAGTGGGTGACAAGTGCATGAGAGCCTGCTGCTGTGGATGCCTGCACAGTGGAGAGCTCAGCCTGTGGATGCCAGGCAGGCCCCCGGCTCTCAGGCTCACAGAGGGAAGGCGGGTCGGGGCCTCACTTGCCAAGCGAGGTGGCTCCCAGTACTAAGCGAGCACCTGGGCGCAAGGAAAACACCCCCTGGGAAACCCCGGCCCCCAGCCCTGCGCCTGCCAGGTGGGCAAAGGCAACCCAGGCTGGGAGCCCGCAGAGGCCACACCAGGATGGGAGCTGGGGAGAGCAGAAGACAGCAGAAACACTGGAGCACCCTGTGCGCTTCACTGGCATGCATGGAGGAGGGCTTGGGGTTTTCCACACCGAAGCAGGAAGCCACCGAGTGAGCCGCCCACAGCCTGGCCAGCAGAACAGTGCTTGCTGGCTGCCTCTCACCAAGCCGGCTTGTTCTTGATCAAAGGGGATCTCAGGGCCCTCCTGACCCAGGCCCTCACAAGGAACGCTGCCAGAGATGCTGGGGTCTGTCTGCCTGCCGAGGCAGCACCGGCCCAGCACACAGAGCACCCTAGGCACTCGCTGATACTCGACTTGATCATTCTTTCATTCAATGAGGACTTGTCAGCATCTGCTGCATGTCCCCAGAGTGGCCTGCCATTTCCAACCTGGAAAACACACTCCTCACCACCCCACCACTGGCACTGATCCCAGCGCTGCCAGCCCCAGTAACACCCCTCCTAACCGCTCTTACAGCCTGTGCCCTCGGCCCCCATTCCCCACCCTCCACGCAGAGCCCAGAGCCACCTTCTTAAAGCAGAGATCGGACCATGTCATTCTGTTCCACCAACTTCCCACTGCAACCAGAATCAAATCCAGCCACTACCTCTCCTCCACAGCATACATGGCCCCGTATGAGCCAACCAGAGTGCCCCCAACCTTGCTCCAGCCCTCCCCACCTCACTCACTCCACCCAGTGGGGCCGGGCCAGTCAGTGCCATCTCAGGGGCTTTGTACTGGGATCGTCACGCAGCAGGCTCTGCACTGTTCCTGTCCCACGGCCTCCTCAGTGGCCTTCCCGGACCATCCTGGCTAAAGTAGTGCCTCCTGCCACATGCTGCTCCCCCATCGCCTCGATTAATGAACACGGTAGGTACTAGAACAACTGTTCCTCTTCTGATCCTCTGCTCCATGGAAATGGAAGCTTCTTGAGAAAGGAGGGCTGTCTTGGTTCCAACATCCCAGCAGACGGCAGGCACCACTGCCACAGTCACCTGCCAGTGCCAGCCTCACTCCTGCAGCCACACACCCAGTGGATGGCAGGCAATGGAAATAGATTTTCACTGGGCAGAAGCTACTGCCTCCCCAAATCGCCGGCCTCGTGCCAAGTCAAATCTCAGTGGGGAAGAGGTGAGAGGCCAGCCTGAGAGTCAGAGCTGCCCACAGGCCAGCCTGGCCTCTGCATGCGGTCTCCAACACTCTACCTAAGGGTTCCCAGGAACTAGCAATGGTGCACACCTTTCCAACTTGAAGGAGCGAGGTCTCCATGTCCTCATCCCAGGTGAGCCACTGCTTGCTCCTCACACTCAACAGATGAAGCCACAGCCCAGGGGTGCAGCCCCCTCTTCTGTCAGCAGCACCCAAATTTTGAACTGGGGTAACTTCACCCTCACTGGATCATGTCTTAGTGGGACTGTCAACCAAGGTGCCTCCACCTCCCGACCCCAGGCTGGGCCCAGAACTCAGGCCTGCTTACCAGACACTGGCTCCACGGCTGACTCCTGACCACAGGGCTGGGGATGATTAGCCCAGCAGTGAGGCCCTGAGCCTGCCCATGAGCACCCGTTCGAAAGTGTTCCCAGCTGCTCCAGCCCTGCCCTTTCTGAGGCCCAACTTGCTCCCCTCCCCTCTAGCTCTGCAAGCTCTCCCTGTGCTCCAGAAAGTTCTCTTTTGGGGTGAGTGAGCTGGAGATGGCCTCTGGAGCTGACAAATGAGGAACACTGACTGATTTCGTGTTTGACCTCGAGACAAGACCAGGGCCCATATCTTGCTTTCTGAGCCCCATTTGTGAGGCTAAGCCAGTGGCGGCCAGGCCAGAACGTCATGTACCAACAGCTTCCCAGGGCGCCAGGCCCAGCACACCCTGACCGGTGGCAGGTCTCCCTGGTCCAACTCCACAGGGGCAAAGCAGCAGAATTCCCGCCTGGCTCTGGGTTAGCCAGGGCCTTTCTCCGCCGGATACCAGTACAGGCTAACATTCCCACTGGTGTGTGCCGTTCCTACAGCCAGCCTTTCCAGCCCTTCGAAGCTCCGGCACCCACAGTCGGAAGAATGAGCAAATCACTGAGTGGAGACCCACCAGGCCCTGAGGGAAACTCGGCCCTCTGAGGTTTCACAAGACACTCAGTGTCTGCACTCAGCAAGCACCCGAGCCCTAGCTGAGGTCTGCAGTGAAATCAGACCACAGCATGTTCCCCTTTGTCTGTCTCCCACTGTGCAGCCTCTGTTCCCAAGCCCACCCCGGGGCAGGGCCTCATCTCTCTGAGGCGCCTCAGATCACGAGAGAAGGTTTTTGGAATTAGATCCTCGTAGGAAAGGCAAAAGCTGGAAATCAAATGGAGGCTTCAGGGCCATCTGTCTGACTAAAGAAAGCAGCCCTGGCTTAAATAAAGACACAATTAAGGCTCCAAATGAGGAACTGGCCCTGCAGAAAATGCCAGGCCACAACCACAGTTCTCCATAACTTTCCTCTGCACGTTATCAACTAAAGCAATCAAGTGGCCTTTTCCATCTCCTGACGTGGCGTCACAGGGGCCACGGCGTGACAGGGGGAGGCTCACACTCATGCCCTGCAGGGGAACGAGCGGGACACCCACACTTCTGAAATGGAACCCTGCAACACTGTAGCAGCCGAAAGTAAAAAGGAGATCCAGGCCTGAAACTAGAAAGAGAAGCTGAGCAGGGAACAGCGCCTTCAGGCGAAGGCTCTCAAAATGCTGATGGAGATCCAGTGGCCCTGACTCCTGGGACTCCGGGATTAGCCAAAGCATGGGCAGGCCCCTAGGTATCTCTGCCTGCCCAGGGTGAACGGCATCAGGCTGCCCGGGACCCTGTGCACTCCTGAGCTCTAACTTTAGGCCGGCCTTGGGCCTGCCAGGGATCATGGCTGGGGCCGTGAGCCCAAGGTGCCAACTTAGCATGGCCCAAAGCATGAAGAACCGCAGTGCCCAGGCAACTGGTGCAAGCCCCGACACGGCTACTAACTCCTCAGATGAGGAAAGTCATTTAAGCCCTGGCATCCTCATCTGACAAGTGCAGAAGGAAGTGCTTCTCCATCTACCAGATCAGCCCCTCCAAAAGACCAGCATTGATTGCCATGGGGAAAGTCAGGCCTCCTGGAGCCACACACTGCCCTCTGCCCAGGGGCAGCCAGCCGTCAGCTCCCTTCGGTCTTCAGCCTTGAGGGAGGATGGGCGACTGGCTGCAGAGAGAACGGCCTGGCCAAGGGAGGTGGTCACTCTGGAAACAAGAGAGCAGGCCCTTGGCCCGAGCGTGGGCGTGCGGGAGGGAGCACAGTACTCCAAGGTCAAATGTCTGGGCTGCCTTCCAGGGAGCAGCTCATGTTAGAACACTGGAAGGAAGGGCCCACTCAGCAGAGGACAGCACCGGGCCGAGTGGGGAAAGGGGAACCGGCCCCAGCCATGGCTGCCGGCAGTGCAAGCAAGGCCAGGGCCACAAGCACAGCCTGAGCCTCAGGGCCTTCTCTTCCTGGGCGGGTGGGCCCTGTGCTGGGAAAGGCAAAATGCTGAGCACTGGGCCTTTTTTCCCTTTTTTCCTACACCTTTCTTTGAGGAAGAGACAGCTGTGTCACCAGCATTTAGTTTTTTTAAAAAGGAGAACCAGAGGACCGTGTTATGAACCCCCAAGAAGGCAGGGAGGGAGACCTAGTCCCCAGGCCCCTCAACTGGCCTCAGAGTTGGCCACGAGCTCCTCCCCCAGTGCCACATGACACCCAGGGTCACGAAGCCCCTGTGACTTTCCTGCCTCTGTGACTGAGGCCTGACTGGGGACCCAGGGTTAGCTACGCCTCTGGGGCCTGCTCCCATAATTCCAAAGTGCCTGTGCTGACCAGTCCTGGCCTCCCCCACAATCACGTTTTCTTTCTAAATCTTAAACCTTCAACTGTTATCTACTTAGTCTGATTAGAAAACAAAAGACAAATTATTTTCCATCATTCCTATTGTTATCTTGATGGTATTTACACGGGGATGATGTTACCCGTTTAGGAAGCTAAAGCAAAACCCCGTCCACTTCCTCTGAACCTATGCTGGCTGTTCAAAGCAAACGCTAGCATCAGCTGATCTCACATTCTGTCCTGCGGATGTCATCACCAGACCGAGATTATTTTCGGTATTTCTTCGGTTATTTACATCGTGTCTCTCTCCCCAAGGTCTGGAGGGGCTCCAAGGTGATCACAGCCCCTGGAACAGGGCCCATTTGAGAAGGTGCTGGGGAAGCAGACAGGGCCTGGACTTGAAATCTGTGACTGGGGCAGCCCCTTCCTGGGCTCTTTGAGCCTCAGTTTTCTGTCTGTATAATAGGGTAGAAATGGGGACACCCCTGCCCCTCAGCAGGTGGCGTGAGGCTCAAGGACAGGGAGGAGGCACTTGGACCTCTGAAAGTGCCCTCCTGATCATACAGTTTGGACGTATGTCCCCTCCAAATCTCATGCTGAAATGTATCCCCCAGGGCTGGAGGTGGGGCCTGGTGGGGTGTTTGGGTCATGGGGGCGGATCCGTCGTGAGTGGCTTGGCGCCCTCCCCACGATAATCAGGGAGTTCTCACTCCTCTAGTTCATATGAGGGCTGGTAGTTTCACGGGTCTGGCACCTCGTCACTTCCCTCCTGCTCCCTCTCTCACCTGTGACACACCTATTCTCCCCTCACCTTTTGCCATGACTGGAAGCTTCCTGAGGCCTCACTAGAAACAGATGCAGATGCCGTACTTCTTACACAGCCTGCAGAACCATGAGCCAAGTAAACCTCTTGTCTTTATAAATTACCCAGCCTCATGTATTCCTTATAGCAACATGATATGGACTAATACACTTCCCAGGACCCTGAGCGCAGCAGCACCCCGACACCTTCCTGCTGGCCCACGCTGCACGGCAGGCAGCATGAGCCAGGCCGGGCCAGGTGCTGACACTCAGTGTGTTCTGAGTGCATCAGCAAAGTGAGCAGCAAGAAGGCCCCTCTTCAACAGGGCTGCTCCCCACAACGGACCTCTCATCTGGAGCCAGGGGGAGAGAAGAGGAGGAGGAGGAGCACAGATGGGCCCGAAGCACTGCACACTGGGTGGTTCTGGGCCGGACAGGCCAGTAACAAAACACAGCAGAAAGAAGGCTTTCCGACAAGGCCAGGGAGAGTTCAGGAAGAAGGCACAGATTCTAATCTGGGAGGCAGCAAGAGAGCACGTGGTGGAATCTCTTCCAGCAAAGCAGCCTGCTGTCCCCTGACCACTGTCCTTTTCTGAGAAGATGGGTTTTCCTTCCCTGGCTAGGGCTGGGAGACCGTGCTCCTCCTGGCAGGGCTCAGGCCACATCTCTTGGAAGAGCACTTCAGCTAACCTTGGGCCCACGTGTCCTTGAAGCAGCTCTGAAGCCAACACCAGGCAGACCCACCCTGAGAAGGGATCAAGCACAGAGGCGGCCACTGCGGCCAACAGCACAGCTGGACCCGGGCAGGGCTCCTCTCTCGGGACCTCCAGTGGCTCCCCAGCCTTGAGGTCACCTCTTTTTGGTTAGAGTTTCTCTAGTCACACCCACTCAGTTGTGAGCATGAGCAGCAGCCAGAAAGTCAGTAAGACAAAGGAGAAAGAGAAGCACCAGGCAACAGGAACTGCACGCTCGTCCATCCACAAACGTCCACTGAGCACCTGCCATGCACTGGGCCCTATGCATTCAGCCACAGGGAAGAGGGGCACCCCTGCCTTCACACAGCTCCCCTGCTAGTACAAGGACTTGGTCAAGATCCACAGGGACATGTTTAAAAGTGCTAAGTGCCTAAGAGGGAAAAAGACAGGAAAGGGGGCAAGTGTGGTGGGGATAAGCGTAGGCGCGGCGGTGCGGCTGACCTGTAGGCGGAGCGGTCAGAGAAGGAAGGAGGGAGGGAGGGAGTGTGTCCTACTGTGGGGAGACCGCTCCAGGCCAAGGAAAAAGTACAAAGGCCTGAGGCAGGCTCACGCTCGGCATGTTGGAACAGGGAGGTCAGTGGGGACTGAGCAGAGTGAGGAGGCAGAGTGCCAGGGATGGGGTCAGAGCAGTCACAGGGACAAGAGTACATGGGGCCACGTACATCCTAGTAAGGACTGGGTGTCTGCTGAGCATGCAGGGCAAAGCCAGTGGAAGGTTCTCTAGAGGAGGACAGCTCTGACTGCGACTCTCTCTGGCTGCTGGGTGGAGAACAGGTTAAAAAGAGTCAGAGGCAGGGGACCAGTTACCACAAGAATCCAGGCGGGAAAACAGCAGGCGGAACGAGGGTGGCAGCGGTGGGGCTGGTGAGAAGGAACCTCGTTCCACGGTAAATGTGAACTGGAAAGGCAGGGGTGGTGGCAGAAGCACTGAATGGTCACGGCAGCTCTACTCCCGGCTGCAGGGACAGAGGCTGCCATCGAGCAAACACAGCTCAGGTGCCTGCTGTCTGCCCTGCCCCGGCAGTGCTGGGGAACAAGAAGGAGCAAAGCTGGGTCCCTATCCTTGCAGCTGGGGGTGACACCCATAGAGACCTCACAGGCTGAGGCCCACGAGCAGAGTGGCACCAGTGCCACGCCTGGTAAGGGCTAGAGAGACCTGACAGGGAGGGCCTCCGAGACTGGAGTCCAGCTCCCAGGCAGCCGGCCCAGGAGGTGGGGCCGGGGAGGCGGTTACCGCCAGCTCCAGGCTACAGCTGCCTCGTTTGTAAAATGAGGCTGGGCCCAACGGTGTCTAAGCCACTTCTCACCCTTCAAGGCCAAATCAAGTGTCCCTGCTCTGCAAGGCTTTCCCTGGAGGGCTACAGCCAGGCCGGCCCTGCTGCCCTACACGCCCTGGGCTGCCTATGGCCTCAGCTGGAGTCCTGATTCCTGGGATCCTCAAATGTCGGTGTATTCACAGCTCTCCAGGCACCCTCCCTCTAGACCCGGAGCTTCTCAGGGGTGAGGAAGGCAGGGCCTGGCTCCGTCTCAGCCTGTTCCCCGAGCTCCTCCAGCCTAGTGCCCAGCACACGGAAGGCGCTCTGTGACGCCTGTGGAAAGAACACAGATCTCGGTGGCTTTCCCACGCTCCTGCCACAGCCAAAGACCTAGGTCTATCTGCCCAAGGCCTGGTTTCATTGGCATGAGACAGGGGAAGGGGACCCACCAACAAGGCTTAGCGTGGGTCCTCATGAGGGCCTGTGAAGGGTGCCGGGAAGGGTCCTGGGCGAGGTGACCCTGGCAGTTGGCCCCTTCCTGACCACAGATGCTGCGGAGAGTTCCAAAGACTGGCCCATCTGTAAAACTCACCCACAAGACCGCTTATGGCTGAGTGTGGCTTCTCACCCCCTCCGTGCCCACTCACATCTGAGGAACAGGGCTTGGAAGGACAGGTCTGCTGACCGGGTTCAGCTGTTGGAGGTGGTTTCGCTCACAGGCTAAGACAGCCAAGTTATCTCCCTCTCTGCCCTAGTCCACCATAAGGTCAGGGTGGTCCAGGCTGAACCATCTTTGGCAGAGGGTAGCTGCTGCCACAGCCCACACAGCCTTTCCCCATCTCCTCCCGCTCTCCATGTTCCCAGGCAGCAGCTCTTGGGCAGCACCACCCAAGAGCTTATCTGGGTCCCCATTCAGGAAACCACCCTCCTCTGAAAACCTCCTCCCTTAAGGGGTGGAGACAGAAGGAATGCCGGTCCTGGCTGGCAGCCTGCAGAACCATGCTTGCTGTTATTTACCAGCGGATGGCCTCCCCTCCTCATTCACCAGGTGACCTCAAATCTCAGCTGAGCTCCTTCCTTCCAGGGAGTTCTCAGTCAAGGTCTGCTCCTATGCCCTGTGGCCCCAGCCTGGGACGCCTCACAGAGCTTTGCTCTTGGGGGCTCTGGACACGGTTTGCTAAACCTGAGTGCTCAGTCCACAGCCCTATCTCTGTACATCAGGCCTCAAAAATGGTCATGGAAAGCAGGTCCTCACCAGTTCAGGGCTGAAGGTTCCGCATGCGATGGAGTCCACTCCCCGGGTGCTGAGGCTTTCACTTAGGATCATCACCATGATAAGGACCTCAGGCGCTGGGCTCCATCCCACGGCGGGCATGAGCCATCTTCACTTGGGCAGACTTGGGATGTGTACCTCCTGAACTGATGTCAGCAGAAACGGCTTCCTATTGGCCACATCCCCTTGGGGTGGGACCTTCTGGGAAATGGCCAAGTGTGGTCAACTCACTGGAAAGGCAAAAGAAAAGCAAAAAGATTCAGGACTAAGGAAGACCAGGGCCCTGAGAGTCACCCCTCCCATGGTCCTGGAAACCCCATGGAACTGGAACCACCTCTCTGCTAAAGAAGATGCACCCTGGGAGAGTCACTAAGGCCCAGAGTTACCTTCTCAGAGCCCCCGCACCCCTGCCATGCCAGCCTTGGGCTGCCTCATTTGTAAAATGGCCTGATGGGCAGAACAACAGATCGGGGTCCAGCAACATGATACCTTGAAGATCTATCTCAGGGTCTGGGTGGCTAACAATCTCCTGTCCCTGCAGTGTCCTCAAGTCATGTGACATCCTAGCACTAAGCTGGCTTGCCAGGCAGCTTCAGCACACACCAGGAGGCGCTAAAGCAGGCCAAGGGTCGTAACACGCCTCATCCCCGCATCCAACGCCAAAGAAGTCAGCCCTCAGGCAGCCAGCTGGCAGCAGGGGACTGGCAGTCAGCATGCTGGTTCCCTTCTCTATCTAGTTATGAACAGAAGCTACTGGAACAATCGGGGGGTCCATTTAAAAAGGCATACATTTGGCTGGGTGTGGTGGCTCATGTCTGTAATCCCAGCACTTTGGGAGGCCAAGGCAGGTGGATCACCTGAGGTCAGGAGTTCGAGACCAGCCTGGTCAACATGGTAAAGCCCCGTCTCCACTAAAAATACAAAAAAATTAGCTGGGCGTGGTGGTGTGCACCTATAATCGCAGCTACTCGGATGACTAAGGCAGGAGAATTGCCTGAACCCAGGAGGCAGAGGTTGCAGTGAGCCAAGACTGCGCCACTGCATTCCAGCTTGGGCAACAAGAGTGAAACTCCGTGTCCCCCTCCACCCCAAAAAAAGGCATACATTTCTTGTCCTTGGAGGTGCCACATTTCAACATCAACATCTTTGCAACACTGGGGGCCTTCAGAGCTGTCATCTTCCCCAGAATGAATTAAACTAAGTAAGCTTCCAGCAGTGATGGAACCCATTCAGCATCGCCATTCTGCACAGGTCATCCACTTCCCCTCTCCAATAATCCACCATCATTTCCCAGCAAGCAAATGAACAAAGAACACACAGCCTTTGGTTCAGGTTTGAAAAATCCCTCCTTACAAACTCATGTCTCTGATTCTATTTCCCCATGCAGTTAAACCTTCAAAGAAAATCACACAGATACAAGGAATCTAAAGATCACCATCAGAAAGTAAGAAATGATCATGATATTAGTATTAATCTGTAATCAGAAACAAACTCTTCAACACAGGAAAATGTTTTAGAATCTGCTGCTGCGTAAAAATTAATTGCACCCTGGTATTTACTTGCTGTCCAGATTGTAAATCATATTTTCCTGTTTACTTCGATTAGACTTTACAGTGGGTGTTATTGAAATTGCTCAATTACAGGCCAGCTGGCAAGCACAGGAAAATTACCTTCTACTGTTCTTCGAAAACAAGGTTCATCCAAAGTGCAAAAGCAGGGAAGGGGAGGAGGGAAATCAACACATGTTCCAAGGCTTCACTGTTCAGGAAGGGCACCCAGGGGAGTCTGAGGATTCCCAGGTCGCACTGAGAGACCTGATGCACAGGCTCAATACCACACTGATCCAGGAGTGACACGCTCTCACCAAGTGTGATCTGCTCAAGGAAAGAATTTCAGACCACTCCTCCAAGTTCTGGCCAGGCAGCTGAGCCAGAAACGCCTGTCAGCACCCACTGCAGGCTCAGCTCAGGGACAGGCCAGAGAGGTGCTCCTGGACTCGCCTTTCAAAGAGGCCTTTTGTGCCTCCTCGGTGGTGGAGGCCTAATGGCGGCCGTCGTCTCTCTGCATGTGAGCCCCAATTCAGTTCTAGGGCAGCCAGTCATTGGCACAAGGCCTAGGAGGTGAGCTGCCTGTTTCCTCCTCCCCCATTTCCATCCTCTCTAGGAAGCCAGGTAGGCTCAGTAGCTACAGGCTCGGGTCCTGAGTCAAGCACAACTGGGTTGGAATCCCAGCTCCTGAAATATATGGCTTGAGGGGCCTTTGCCAAGTTACTCTCTGAGCCTGTTTCCGTCTCTGTAAAACAGGGAAAATGGTGCCTGCCTCACCAGGTTACTGTCTGATGAAAACAGCGCCCAAGTCCTCTGCTCAGTGCCCCACCCATCTGGGTGAGTGCTCAATCAACAGCAGCTACTGCTAGCAGTTTCGTGGGGGAGGCTCGGAGTCCAGATCCTCTTCCTGGCCACAGACGTCCAAGCGGCCATCCTCTCAAATGTGTTTAAAGGGAAACAAACTAAATTCTATCAACAAGGGCCTGGCTATTTGATGGTCCATCCTTCTGAGGAAGTAAGAGGAGGCCAGTAAGAATGAGACTGTAGAAGTCTATCGCCATGGGAACACATCAGCCCATCCAGACACAGCTCTGCATGAAGCAGGAAGCCAGACGGAGGCAAAGATGGGGCATCCCAGCTCTCTCCAGCTCCATCCCCAGCAGAGTCCAGACAAGGAGCCAGGGCTCGGAGAGGCAGCAGAAGCACCAGAAGCGCCTGGGTAACTGGGCGGTCAGCACACATGCCAGGCGTGGAAAGGAGAAGGCAGGTGTGGCACAATGCCTGCCCTGGGGGTCTCAGAGTACAGTGACCCAGGCACCACATTCCAGAGGCAGGCAGAAGGAGACGTGACATTGGACGTGGGTCTTAAAGACTCTTTCGCACACGGCGGGGGGTGGGGGGGGGGGGTGGGAAAGACACACGGCACTGTAACAGCCCAAGAATGGGGACAACCTAGATGCCTACAAACTGGGGAAATGGTGAAATAAATGATGGTGTTAATTTGAAGGAAATACCATGTGGCCTTCAAAACCATTTTAATGAGGCAGTTCAAACTGCGGATATAAAACAATCTCCAAGAAATGCCATAATGTGACAAAGCAAGAAGAGTGAGTCCACCAGCCTGAGTGACAGAGTGAGTCTCCACCTCAAAAAAGAAAAAAGAGGGAGTCCAGCATGGTCCCACACGGCGGGTGCCTTGAGAAGGGCACGGCAGTTCCAGAGAGGAACTGCGACCGGCCCCCTGTGCGGTTTGAATATTCCAGCCCACGCTGGCCCATGGTACTTTTACTTCTTAAAAAACAGGCAAGATTTCATCAGGAAGGGCAGGGCACCCAGGCAGAGGGAAGGGTATAAGCAAGGCGTGGCCACTGGCCCGGACTCGGAGTATGGGAACGATGAGCATGTCGGTGGCTGGCACACAGGGCACACAGAGGGCACAGCAGCAGGATGGGAGCCAGAGACAGACTCAAACCAGACCCAGGGCTCTGAATGCCACACTCAAAGGAGACGTTATCATGCAGCTGCGGGGGCTCCCAAAGGAGGTGAGAAGCTGGAGGTGGCTGCTTTGATCTGTTGGGAGAGCAATCTTTTCTGAACCCTTTGCAACACCTACCACAATCCCTCGCATACCCTAACAGCTACAATACACATCTCTGGAATCAAGCTAAATTACAGCGACATCTGAAATGATCTGGGCACATTCTCAGAATTTGTGAGGCGAATCCAGACCAACACAGCCCAGCACGCTCTGGAATTTCCTGGGATTCCTATGATCTGTGGCCCCGGCCTAGCCAATGTCACTGGGGAATGCCAGGACCAGGCCAGAGACTTACAGCCCAGTCTGCAAACAGGGTCAGAGTCTTTTCAAAGCTTGGGGCGGGGGGTGGGGAGGGAGGGTGCTATGACCATGGAAAAGATAGTAACTAGGTGATTCCACAGGGGGCAAAGCCCTCCCAGAGGCCACCTCTGGGGCACAGACCCTGCTGTGGTCTAGTGGGTTTTCTCTTAACCTATATCAAGAAAAACTCCTATCTATTGAGCACCTACTATGTGCCAGGCACTTTACACACATTAGCCACAAGCCAGGTTCAATTAGCCCCATCTTACAGCCATATATAGCAATTCGCCCAGTCCAGGTTCAAAGCTGGGATCTGAACCCTTGTGGGCCAGCACCTAGGTCTGCACTGCCCACTAGTGCCTCGCCTCTCCATCCCCCCAAAAAACCCTTCAAATGCCCAAACAACTACCAGCAAGAGTTCTTAGCACTTATTCCAGAGAGATTAAGATTTACATTCACACGAAACCCACACACAAATGTCCGTAACAGCTCTTTATCCATAACAGCCAAAACCAGGAAATACTCCAGAGGCCCCTCACTGGGTGAATAGTTAAACATGCGTGGCAGGGACAGCCGCACTGTGGAATACTACCCACCAATAAAAAGGAACCAACCAGAGACACACGCAGCAACGTGGACGAGCCTCCAGAGACTCGGGCAGGGTCAAAGAGCCAGTCCCCAAAGGCTTACTATTCTAGGAGCCCAATTATGTCCCTTTCTTCAAATGACAAAATTACCGAATGAGCGAAGAGATGAATGGTTGTCAGGGGTTGGGGAGGGGTCGTGGGAGCAGGAGGGAAGCGGATGTGGCTATGAAAAGGCAGCAGGAGGGACCCTTGGAGACGGAGATGTTCTGTGTCTCGACTGTATCTGTGACAATTTTCTGCTTGTGACACTGCATGAGTCTGGCAAGATGTTACCGTTAGGGGGCAGTGAGTAGGGGGTATGTGAGATTTCTCTGTATTACTTCCTGTAACTGCATGAGTGTAAAATGATCTCAACATAAAAAATGTAAATAAACCCCAATCTACGCATTTATCAAAATTCGTAGAACTAAACACCAAAAGACTGGATTATGCGATTTATAAAATTTTAAAACTTTTTTTAAAACCCACTGATTATACCAGGGAGACCACATGCAAGGGGAGGTGGGGGGAGTGTGTGTGTGCTGTGGAATTTGGCAGCCCTGGTCTTCACCTTCAAATCACTTGGCTTTAGTTTCCTCATCTTTAAAATGAGGGCGAGGCTGGTCACAGTGGCTCACACCAGTAATCCCAGCATTCGAGAAGCTGAGGCAAGAGGACTGCTCGAGGCCAGGAATTCAAGACCAGCCTAGGCAACACAG